TAGGAACTGTTCCCCTCGAAATCCATGTGCTAGATTACCTCCGCCGGGATGGCTTCAAGCACCCCAATATTGTCGAAATGGCCGATTTTTTCGAGGACGATATCAACTACTACATTGAAATGATACCGCATGGCCTGCCAGGTATGGATTTGTTTGACTACATCGAGCTACGGGTCAACATGGAAGAGAAGGAGTGCCGCAAGATTTTTGTTCAAGTCGCCGAAGCGATACACCACCTGCACACAAAGGCCAAGGTTGTACATCGCGACATCAAGGACGAGAACGTGGTACTAGATGGCGAAGGCAACATCAAGCTCATTGATTTTGGCAGCGCAGCATATATTAAGAGCGGGCCTTTTGACGTCTTTGTTGGCACCATCGGTACGTCCCTTTTTTTTGCTTTTTAACCCCTGAGATTTCCGCCCACATACTAATGACGCCCCCAAACAGACTACGCTGCCCCCGAGGTTCTAGCCGGCAAAGCCTACCGCGGCAAAGAACAAGACGTCTGGGCCCTCGGCATCCTCCTTTACACCATCATCTACAAGGAAAACCCCTTCTACTCGATTGATGAAATCATGGACCACGATCTCCGCGTCCCTTGGGTCATGTCCGAAGAAAGTATCGATTTGGTCCGCTTGATGCTGGACCGCGATGTCGAAAAGAGGATTACGATTAGTATGGTGTTGGAGCACCCGTGGTGTAAGGGTGTGAGCGGTGGTGAGGTGACGCCTACTGCTGCTACGGCGCCGACCACCGCGCTGCCGGCGCCTGCGAGCGCAACTGCGACTGCTTCAGGTGTTTCTGATGAAGTAGATGGATAGACGGTATGAAAGAGAAAGAAAAGAAAAACATTTCCCCCCACCCCCACGTTTTAGAGAGACAGATGGTTGTTCGGAGATTGGGGACGAGCAATATAGAAAATGACCTCTTTTTTTTTCCTTTCTTCTCTTCCTTCTCCCTTCTTTCTTTTTTTTTCTTCATTTCTTTGACGACGTATTTTGATACCTTTCATTACTTTCGCTTTTCCCCACAACTTTTGGATCTTTGGTTATGAAGGAAATTTGAGGGGCATTAGGGTAGTTTCTAGGGACAAATACATGGCACAAAAAATTTAGCGAGTTACTCTTCATGACCCCTTTTTTTTATCATTGGTTTTGATAGATGAGAGGAGGGATTGGACATGGAGTGGACTTGACGAGACATTCGCTTTTGAGAAAATCGCACTTTGCAATGTGTCATGGAAAGATTACAATTCATGAATATTTGATTGGTGATTCTCTTTTCCTCGTCGACCTTCATCGTCCCCTTTGTCATCGATTTTGGAATCCAAGAAAGAAAAAGAAGTTTCTCTACTAATCGTACAAGTTGATGCGTTTTTTTACAATGCCCAAAAAAAAGAAAGGCACAGCCCTACGCATATGGAACTCGTTCAAGAGTGGAATTTGGAATACCCCGCCGCAAACGAAAAAAAAATGCTCTAAATCGCCCCATGCCTATAGAAAAACACGCCTCTTCATATCATAGTGGAAGGGAAAATCAAGAAAATGTACTACATTTCATCACCTACTGCTGCTGTCCAGATCCTTGAATGTGGCTGGGCTGGGTGGTACAAGTGGCCCCTTGACGCCGTCGTCACCCTTTGGTTCTATATATCCGGGCGCCTTGCCGTACTCGCCCGAGAAGTACTTGTGGAAATCCTGGTTGTCTTCGAAGGGTCGGGGTCCCAATAGCCTAATCATGTCTTCGCGGCCAAGCATTTCCTTCCTGAGCAGTTCTTCAGCAACCAGGCCTACTTCGTGTTTCTTCTCGGTGAGCAAGTCTTTGCATTGCTTGTAGGCCTCATCTACGATGCGCTTGACTTCCATGTCGATATTCTTGGCAGTGTCTTCGGAGAAGGGCTTGGTGAGTTGCTGGCCCTCACCGTCTTCAAAGTAGATATAGCCGATCTTCTTGCTCATGCCCCATTTGCTGACCATTGCAGTGGCCATCTGGGTGACCTTGCGGAAATCGTCAGACGCACCGGATGTGACGGTGTCGAAATGGAGTTCTTCGGAAACACGTCCGCCGAGTGTCATCGCCATACGGTCCATGAGCTGATTTACGTTCATCAGGTAGGTGTCACCATTAGGAAGATATTGAGCATAACCGAGTGCACCTTGGCCACGGGGAATAATGGAGACCTTGAGGAGAGGGTCCGCCCACTTGAAGTACCAACCGCAGATAGCGTGGCCAGCTTCGTGGTAAGCGACGGTCTTCTTCTCTTCTGGCTTGAGGACGAGAGACTTCTTCTCAAGACCGCCAATGACTCGCTCAATGGCCTGTTCGAAATGCACCATGGCGACAGTATCCGCGTTCGCACGGGCGGCTAATAAGTGTTAGCAATAGAATATGTAATCGTGATGTAGAATTCTTACCAATCAAAGCAGCTTCGTTGACGCAGTTGGCAATGTCAGCACCAGAAAAGCCAGGTGTCAAAGCTGCTAATCTGCCCTTCAAGAACTCCATGTCTTCCTTGGTGACAATCTTCTTCAGATGGACACCGAAGATCTGGCCACGGCCATCCATGGTAGGCTTGTCAATGTTGATATGCCTATCGAAACGACCAGGTCGCATAAGGGCCTTATCCAGAACGTCCGGTCGATTGGTACCTGCAAGGACAACTACTTGCTCAGTGGTATTGAAACCATCCATCTCGGTGAGGATCTGATTGAGGGTGGCTTCACGCTCGTCGTTGCCACCACCAAAGTTTTGTTTCGAACGAGCACGACCAATGGCATCGATTTCATCGATGAAGATGATGCATGGTGTACTCTTCCGCGCATTGGCGAACAGGTCTCTGACTCGCGAAGCACCAACACCTACAAACATCTCGACGAACTCTGATCCACTGACACTGAAGAAGGGTACACCCGACTCTCCAGCGGTAGCCTTGGCAAGGAGTGTCTTACCAGTACCTGGGGATCCAGAGAGAATGGCACCACGAGGGATCTTTGCGCCGAGCTTCTGGAATCGGCCGGGATCCTTGAGAAAGGAGACAAACTCCATAATCTCCTGCTTGGCCTCATCCATGCCGGCAACGTCACTGAACTTAACCTTGACGTCTGTCTCATGGTTGAACTTCTTAGCGCGACTCTTGCCCATACCGAAGACACCACCGCCTCCTCCTGCACCACCTCCCGCACGCCTTGTGAAGTAGAAGAGTGCTCCAAGAAGGAGGATGGTAGGGCCGAATGACAGGAAAGTGCCAAACCAGGAGATTTCGTTCGAGTAGGCGACAGGGATGCGCTCAGAGCTGGGGATGCCAAGTTCATATTGAGCATCGTCCATTTTGCGTTCAAAAGCCTCGACCGAGCCAATGGTGAAGTAGTAGTAGAAGTTCTGGTTAACAGAGGGAGAGTCAGGGTACATGGAGGCAACAGCCTCGCGATGTAGGTGCACCTTTGCCTTGTTGCCGTTGAGGATGACAATCTTCTCAACCAGACCCTTGTCTAAGAAGGTAGTCCGGAACTCTTGCCATGTAATCTCCTTAGTATTCTCGCCTGGGAAGACCATCTTGTAGGTAAGGTATGCGAGGAAAGCACTGATAAGTAATGTGTTCGTGTCCATACCGCCACCAAATTGGGGTCCGGGTGGCCCACCAGCACCACCCTTGGAGCCCTTGCCTGGGCCTGGGTCGTGTGCACCCGCCTTCTGCTGTGGCTCTTGTGGGCTATCGTTGTTGAACTTTTGCTGCTCGGCGGCCTTGCGGGCCATGTTGGTGGTTAAGCGCGAGATCTTCGCCGCCGTGGCCAGATCCAGCTTCTCGCCTCTTTCTAGCTTGTCCATCTCTAGGCGGAGCTCGGGTGGTATGCCATTTCGCTTGATTTCCTCCATTGCGTCCTTGATGTTCTGCTTCTCAGCCTTCGGGACACCCATGGTCACAAACGACACCAGCTGATCCAGCATCTTTTCCTCCTCTGGGGTCAGCTTAGCCATCTGAGGCTGGCCTTGATTGTCCTTGTCTGTTCTTGAAGGTTCATTAGAGCCCGGTCTCTCAGAATGACCGTCCTTCTGTGCCGAGTCATCGTCCTTCTTGTTCTTTGGCTCTCCTGGTGGTCCTGTCGCAAATCTCCGGGCACGTTGCTGGGCGTATATACATTGTGGCAGTGGTGCGCATGTCCGTAATGTGCGTGGTGCTCTTGTGAAAGCAGCGTTGAAGTAAGGTCGAGAAAGGCGGGCGAGGTTGCCTGATTGTCGGAGGAGAGTTGACATGGCAGCGGTGGCCTAGGCTAAATGATGGATGGGGGAGGGGCTACAATAAGTGGCTCGGGATTGGGGTATAATACAGTGAAAGCGGGGAAAGAAAGAGAATTAAGACGGCGGGTGACCGGAAGATCCGCGCCTGAATGGATTGGACTGTACTGCCACGCGCTGGCAAGAGGAGAGTCTTTGTGGCGGGTGCGCCTTTGATGGCAAAAGCTAAGATATGACAGAATCATCGAAGTTCCTCGCATCGCCGACACGCCGACTGACTAAGCGGGGTCCGGCCAGCCTCAATGCGTTTCCTCATAGATTGGACCTATCAGGTTAGCGCAGACGCTAAACATCAATGCTTTACTTTCACTTCATCCTACTTCGAGATTCCTCAGATAAAAACATGTCCTTCTGATAACAAATCATAATTACAAAAAGTCCAAATAGTGGGTTTTCCAACTGCCAATGGAAACAGAGTTCAATAAGTTAGCTTACGTAGCACGCTGTCCTCGACCACGGTAGCTGGGACTAACTCTTACCAAATCTTTACGTGCATACTGCTATGTCTACCTACGGCTCACAGTATCGCTACCTAATGGTACATTCTTCGCTCTCTCGTAAGCCGGTCTGAACTCACTTGGTCAACACAGTGCTGTTGTTTCATTTTCACTACACGCAGCCTGCTTGTCCTAGGCTATACGCCACGCATACTGTACCTTTACCGTCCCAGCACTGGAATGTGACTCCTGAGAACTTGGGCCAAAATGACCACCTATCCAAAAATCTCCCTTGCGGAGCTTCCAGATTGCTCCCAATTGCAAATGGACTTTCCCGATACAGCTTGGTTTAAGACTCATGGCCAAACACAACAATTCCCGACACACGAACACTTACTTTCCCTCGTTCCAAATGATTCTCATTCAAACATAGTAAAGTTTGAAGACCTCAGTCTTGCTGTAAAATTCGGGCGACATGTCACTACAACGGAGGCCATCAACATCTGGGTTGTCCGCAGAATGTTCCAGGAAGCTGTTCCGGTACCGGAGCTTTATGGATGGAGAGTTCTTGAACAGGAAGGAAAGGGTCGCTACGTCTTCATCTACATGCAACTAATCCAGGGTCCCACGCTCTTAGAGCGATGGCCTGAGCTGTCTTGCGCTGACAAGCAAGCAATCTGTACTGATCTCCGTGCCATGGTATCTTCTCTTCGGAGCCTCCAGGACAGCGAATTACAGCAAATGATCGGTAAGTGTTTCGATTATTTCGATGTGACTCCGCTAAATGCTTATAGGAAACATATGTCGTGGTCCTGGGGAAGATGTCTGCTTGAAAGAAATACTTTTGTTGAGACCGTTTCCCTCACGGGCTGAGTTCCACGACTGGCTTTCCTGGTCGTGGCGCCGGCGTGTTCCAAATCCACAAAGCATCCCAGACCCATGGAGAGACTTACTTCCAGACAATGGGCCTATTGTTTTTACGCATGGTGATCTACATCGAGGGAACATCATAGTCAGCGCCACGAGTCCTATTGAGATTGTCGCAATCATTGATTGGCAATCATCGGGTTGGTATCCGGACTACTGGGAGTATTGTAAAGCCTTGTTCACAGCAGAATGGGGTAAAGATTGGTGGGACTGTATTCATCAATTCTTGGATTCTTATCCACAAGAGTTCGAGACTTTTGATTTCTATATGCGGACCAATGGCATATTTTGAGCTTTACCACTTCCACATTCTGTACCGTTCCAGCGATTGTATCGTTTGCATGCACTATTCCAAGACCAATCACTGGCTTATACATACTGCTGATGATTATACTGTGGGGGCCGTAGGCTAATGCCAACCTGCAGCGGGTCTTGGTTCGACTGAACTATGTCTATAGCCTCTTCATCGAGGTATCTGAGGGCAACAAATTGACGAGTATATTCCAACATCCATGTTTGACACACAACTTTTACAAATAGTGTACAACCGTTGTACACAAGTTTCCTCAAGAATCTCCTAAGAGAACCCATGTCCTGCGCGAGTAAACCAAAGTGCCAACAGTTCTTAAAATGTTGAGAAAGCTTGGGGTATTGAACATACCGACATTCACGCCAAGCCATACCAATTCTAATACCATTATCGTGTTGATGAAGCCGAAAGTCCACCAATAGGTTGTAGTAGCTATCCCCCAGATCTATCTGTCGCTGTTTGAGCGATACTGTCGTTATGAAGATTGCCTTCTAGGGACATCGAAATTTCATAGTATGCCGCAACAATTAATCATGCCGCCTTTGTGCCACTGAGACTATACACGCTTTTGAAGATACGTTGCTACCCATTTATCCGGGCCTGCTGTATCCTACAGCCAGTCGATGCCAGAAGAATGGTATGTGACATAATTCGAAAGCATACATGTGCAATCCGAAGGAGCCGACAGGGCACATACAAAGTCAAACAAACAGAAAGGTATAGATTCAAGTCTTGGTTATACAGTCTATTTGTCGTCTCGCTACAATGACTAGCATGTTGCGCGTATCCTCCACTTGAGTTCTTCAACGACATGCACTACCCTCCATCAAGCCAGCCTCTCGCCACTTCTGCTCCGCGCATTTACTCCTCCTCATCGGCATACAGAGCACGGCCAGGCTTCGAGTTGAGGAATTCGTTCCTAGTCTCATCGTTAGCCTTCCGGACCACCTTTGGTTTTGTCCTACCCATCGCCTTTCCATTTCGCATCTCAACCCAGCGTCATGAACTCACCTCTCGATTGCCCACTGCATGGCTCCGTATCCGAGAACTAGCGGAGGAACGATGTAGAGAACCTGGTTCTTGGATCGGCGCACAACGTTCCAGAAGCCCTTGCTGAGGAAGTTGGCCATGGGACGCTGTCGGTTGGGGCTCAGCTGGTAGGTGACGATGCCCTTGCCGGGTCGGCCACCGCCCTCGTAGGGGTTACCCCATGCGCCGATGTGCCATCTATGCTATCGTCAGCATGCGCTCCACTCAAGTCGGCCATGCACATGTGTGCCGTCTATGGAATGCGGGTTGGGGCGCGGAATCTTTCGAGGCGGGTGCGGGTGCCGTGGCGTGCGGGGAGGGCCGAGACATACGTGGTCTTGGTCTTTGCCTGGGATTCGGGTCCGAGAGCCATTGTGAAGATGTCAGGTGCGGGTGTGGACGTGCAATGGGATGAGCGGTCGGTCGTGACGATGTTGCTAGAAAGATGCAATCCGAGCTGCGATGCCAAGCCCTTTCGTGCGCTAGTCTATATCAGGGAAGAGTTGGGACAGGCGAATCAGCTCAATGCTATTGGTCAATTCCTTATTGAACGACAACCTGCACTTGGTGAGTACATCACTCACTTAGGATATTTTGTATCTCACTTACAAATACTCCAATGGTGAGAAGAGAAATAAAACATTGCTACTTGCCGTCATCCTTCCCACCTTGGCTAGCGATTGCGCCACGACGCTCACCATGCTGCTTGTATTCTCCGTATGTCTCTGGCATTTCGTGATTTGTTGATAGGGCGTAGTCTCTTCGAGTGGGCTATCTCTTTGTGTTAGTATGCATTGGCTGTTGCCTTGTGAAGATAATGAGTCAGCCCAGAAACACATAACATGTAGGGGCAAAATGAACTTCGAGTGAAGGGCGACTTATATTCCTATGATACTGAGACCTTGTCTAGTAGTCGCACGTCAAATGTACCATCAGACAAACATGTGCGGTTCTCAAAGTCCTTCATCACTGCATCAGATATAAAACTTCGACGCACGGGATTTTATTACACGCTAACTCCTAAACCCCAAAGATCCATGCATCACTCAGCTCTCTACTGAGTTATCACAACGCCCTCATTCATGATAATCCCATAAGTAACACTCGGACTCAGCATCTGCGGGCAGCCGTCATAGCTTTTATAAATTGTGGCATTATAAAAGTTGCACATGTCGTCGATAATGGGACGAGCCTTGTAAAGATCATTCACGGTACAGTGACCCTTGCCGCCCAGCCCGGGAGGAACAGTACAGGGCTCGATCAACTTTGCATTGTTAGATTGTAAGACCTGTAGGTGGAGAAGAGTGGGAGTTATGAAAGGAACATACTTTAGAGTACTTGTAGTGGTTTACGCAGTGGCAGGCAAAGTCTTCGGCTGCGCAGCCATCGAGCATGCTAGCTTGGATTTGACATTCGTAGATACAACTGGGAAGCCAACCTTTGAGCTTATTGTTGTTCCTAATTCTTGATGTTAACCCAAAGCACCATGCATGTCCCGGATTACGAGATACATACAAACAGTGATATTTTGCCATATTTCCAGGAGCGGAAGCTCGCGTAATGTTGAATGTGAGTTGAGCGTTGGCAACAGCCAAGACCGAGAAAAGCGTAGCGATAGAAGTGAAATGCATGGTTAGAGCTGATTTACAGATAAAGAGCGTAGAAAGTGCGGTATGATAAGTGCTGATGAGTGAGTTGTTGGTACTGCATTTGAGTTGAGGAACAACCAGTTTATATATCATGTACGACTTTAGTCTCTCCCTGAATCTGGCCCGTGATTAAATGATCCACAAGACATGAATGTGTATCTACTCGACTCTGAAATTGCAAATAGAATATTCATGTTTGCAAACATCACTTTTTGCATTAGACTTCAAGCGAAAAGCATTTTCGAATTGCACCCCTAAGCACAGGTTTTCAATTTAAGATCCTGTGGGCTTTTCCCGATCCTACTTGTTTGTCATAGAGCTGTTTTGTTGCACACTGAGACAACAACACATTCATGTCTAACGGTTTCGTGTAACAAGTTGAACTCTCTACGCACATTGTTTCTGGTGGTGAAAAAAAGCAATTCAGCCAAATGAGCTAGTATGTAGAGATCATCCTATAACTCAACTATGTTAGCTGTTGCACCACAATCAATCAGGTCTGATTGGCTGTAGAATAGGGGACCTAAAACTGTTTTCCCTCAACATTATTTCTTGTTTCTCGATAAAACTATACGGCACTAAGGAATAGAATAAGAGAGAATGTGAGAGCTTAAGTTGTGGTTGCAAAACAACATGCTGTTACACGGGGTCTGGAGTGCTAATACTTCTCTGGCTCGATCCGGGTTAGGGCGAGTAGGATTGGGGTTAGCGCCGTGAGAGTTGCCTGGCGATTCTTATGGAAAAGAGTTATGGATGTAACCGGG